CCATCCAGCTGTCAGAGATGTGCCGCGGCGGCGTCACGGCCCTCGTGCGCGGAACCGTCACGGCTGGTGTCGGCTCGGCACGGAGTCGATTGGTCACGCTCGGCTGCTGTGGCCGGCGGTCGACTGAACCCTGTAACCGGCGGGGGTCAGCGGCACAGTGGCCACCGCGGCGGCGCGGCGGACTGGCGCGGCGATAATAGCGCAGCTCCCCTGGCGCGGTGCCCCGCCCGCCGGAAGGACCGGACGGCGGCCGGCGGAGCGCGGACGGCTCGGCTCCGACCGGCCGGACAACCCATTGCCGTTCGACCGGCACCGTCGGTCACTTCCGGCGGCCGTCGGTCGGCCGGGAGCAGCCGCCAGACAACGGAGCCGCCCGCCGACCGGAAACGACCCGCGGCGCGCCGCCGCTGCTGGTCTGCCGAGCAACGGCACGATTTGGAGCCGCCGTCAGGTCTGGTGGGGTCTGCAGTTTCCGTCCGTCGCACCACTCTGAGGTGACCTGCGCCGCTCCGCTGGCGGCCGGCAGACGCAGAAAGGGTTCTGTGTGCCGCTGATGGTCGCTCTGCAGTAATGGCCGCCGCCGGTGACTGGTGATCGTTCCGCCCCGCGGTCTCCGGGCCAACCGGACCGTCTGTCCGCGCGCCCCGGACCATCAGCGCTGACCCCGGCGGGGCGGGGCTGGGGAGGTCTGGTCATCAGCAGCAGCCGTCACATACAGACACTGGCGCACAGGCCAACTACATACGTGCGCATACATCAATGGCGCATGCATCAGCCAGCCAGGAGCATTCAACAGGCATGCCTCTTCAACAGTCGCCAGAAATGAGCAATAACAGACAATGACTAGCGTGCGCCGTCTCTTTTCAGCAGCTTCACGCCCGCGGTGCAAGCATTCTAGAGTCGGTCCGGCTCTCTAAGCCCAGCACAGCCTACCTGCTAATAATAGACATCGACCGAACTAGCTCACGTACGTGACGGCTCTCGGTTACGTGCATCATCTGGCTAATGCAGCCTGAGACTGATTCTCCGCAACACAGTGGATTAACCCTATTCCTGGCGGGGGGGGGGCTTCAGGAGCCCCCCCCCTGAGGTTTTTTGGTTATTTTCCCCAAACGCGTTGAGCTAGGAAGCTCAAATTTTCTGACTTTTCCTAAAAGGCTTCTACGCAACATGTCTGAAAATTTTGAGTTGATCTGACCTCAGGTCAGGTCACCAGAGGCGGTTTGGTGACCCTACCTCAGAAAAGTTTGCAATCACGCCAGAGCTAGAGTTTTTGACCGATCAATTTCTTCTCTTCAGGCTTTTGTTAGGGTACCAGTATGTGCAATTTGTATATCTCGGAATTTTGATATCGGTGACCTAAGGTCAGGTCAGTTTCGCGACCTCCCCATTATAAGTCAATGGGGGAAAAATCAACTCCCTGTTTTTACCACTAAAACGGGTCAGAATGGCCCCATATACCATACATGACTTCATATACGATCAACCTTCACTACCTTGAGGTCTGTTTTGCTGTTGGGCAGCTGTGAGGTCATGTGACGTCATCAAAGGTCACCAAAGGTTTTTGGCCAATAACTCCGTACAGGAACAAGATATAGACGCGTGGATGGTCTCATTGTGTTCAGCTCGTCAAGACGCATCGAATGATATACATGATGACCTCGAGGTCACGTGACCTGAGGTCAACCTTTGACCTTGACCTTTCGAGGTCAACATATATATCATTCGATGCGGATTGACGAGAGGATCACGATGATGCCCTTAGTTTGTTCCTATCTTGACTAATTCGAAAGTTATTCGAGAAAAACTCTCTCCATATCTAGCGCCGCCATTTTGACTTTTTCGACCCCTGTGACGTCATCTTTGACCTGACCTGAAAATGACCTTAGTAAAAATTGTAGATCTTGACCGTGCGTATCCGATGCCGTTTACCGTTTGTCGCTATCTTGCTTCGTTCTCGAGATCTCAGGGGGGGGCCGAATCGGCCCCCCCCCCGCCAGTTTCTTGTCCCGGCGGAGCCCGCCAGGAATAGGGTTAAAGTTGGTAGGAACATATTCATGTTACATACATTTTTACCTTTCCTTACGGTTGCGAGAGTCGTGATAAATGGCCAGTATAAGTTATGATATATATAATTATACGATATGATTAATAAGATATTAGATAATGATATCTGATCAATGTCAGTCGTGTAGAAGTATAAATGATTCTAACGACCATGAGCACAGCAGAAAGTCTCATAATCTATCAAACATTTCCTTATGCTGACTGCGGCTGGTCGGGAAGCAATCGCATAACCATTGTGAGGTCAACTCATGAATAAGTTCGGCCTAACTTGCGGTCGAGTCTCCGATGCAATTTGAGACATTTCCGTCACACTAGCAATTTAGGCTCCAAGTTTCACAGAACTAAGCCAAAGTTATGAAGTTCGTGACTCATATCATCAGCATTATTGGGCATTGAAGCTTGAATACGTTTGCGTCCTCCGGCTTGGCTCGGCAAGCTACCCGGGATTTCAATAAGGGATTCCTTATTAGGCAGATGGAACAATACAACACTTGCATTGAAGCAATAATGGTGCCTATCAATTTTTTTTTTTTTACATCGAAGCAAATATTATTCGTATCAATATGCAAATTGTAGTGTCAATATTTAATTGACAAAAGGCACAATTATCGTCTTAATGCATGCAACTTTTTCACATGCATGTGCAACTTTTTTTCGCCAGCGTAGGTATCACGCTAGAAATATCATGTTAGCACACGTAGCTTAAAACGATATGAAAATTACACATTTCCTTTATGCTTAAAAGTGCCTTCTGTCACGTTGAACGTCTGGCTGAAAGGAGACGATAACTATTTCTCTCTGGATTCCTTGCGCGAAACTTCTTGGACGCTGGCTGACGTCACCTGAGGCCTTGACGTCATTAGAACCGAGGTGCGTAGTAGCTGTTCGGTAATGTGAGATGTCTCAGGTATAATTAACAGTTCGCGTATACACGTTCATGGGAGCTGATATCAGAAGTGATAGGGCCACCAGGAGTACATACAGTTCCATCTGGGCTAGTTTGGAGACTCTGCACCGACGGCCGATAGCCGGCACGGGGCGTTCCGAGAGGAGCGGGGAAGTGGAGCTTTAGTCGGAGCGCCCTCTCAGGCTGCCGGCATTAACTGGCTGATAGCTGCCGCCGCCGGTCTGAGAGCGGGCTTGGCGAAATCATCACCGACGTCCTCATCGCCGTCATTATCTTCGCCGCAGCACAGATTTTATAGCCACTCTCTGCATAGGGGAGAAGTGCTGCTAGCTTGGATGTAGGCTACACGCCTACACGGTGTTATTTTTCTACACGTAGTTTCTGAACGGTGTCACAACAGACGCTGATATTGAGCTCGGCCGACTTCAGTCGACGTCAAGATCCAATTATCGACGCTCGCCTCACAGCAGAGTCTGTCACAGACAGCACGCCATGCCTGACGGGCGGTGATTACATACTGACAGGGCCAGATGCTCACGCAAACTTCCGATTGCCTCACGCGTCGTGCCTTCTCCCCCGTCGCTTCCCCATGCCGCTCCCTCTTTGCTGTTGCTGTCTATTCGTGTCTCCCTCCCGGCTCCCACTCACCACTTCTGCTGGCCCCGCTTTCTCCCTTTTTGTAATGTCGCTATCCGCCGGCAGCTCACAGCGTTCGAAACGGGAGGGTAGACTGTACCGCACAACACGCTGGTACTGCGGCGCAGCCTATACTCCAGCGACGAAAGCTGCAGTGTGGACCGGCGCGTCAGGGAAAGATAGGATTTGATGGATCAGGATGGCTCGATGCGAATCAGTCGAATTGCAATGGAAAAGGTAAATCATTTTACAGAAGACAATGCATTTTTCATCGCTCGTCCATGCCTATGCATGCATCAAACCACGAATAAATTATGTTGGCAGACTCAACACTGCACACTATGATGGATACCGTTTTCCAAACAACCCCTATAACCGAACAAACCACCTAAAGCGTAGTTCCAGAATCACTCACTGGAGTCCAAATCTGAAACGTGACCGCTCTAAGCAGCGGGCTCCCGGTGGATCTAGCTCGGAGTGTGGTCGTTGATAGCGCTCTCAGGGGCGCGTCAGGCACCGGTGCATTTATCATTCATGACGTCACGCCGCCGGAGAGCGGGGTGCCCAGGAGTCGGTTCAGTCGACACGCCGCCAAATATGAATGGCTGTCACGTCCGTCGGCTCAGGGAGCGCCATGCCATGGTACGAGGGCTGCTCAGGGAGGTCAGAGCTGAGAGTACGGCAGTCTAGGCTGTCGACACCGACGGAGAGATATGTGCACTGTGCAGCTGAACGGTGTGTGTTTGTGTGCGAGGGGAGGGAAATCAGTGTCAGAGTGATTTGATGAGACAATAATTTTTGTTTTGCTATGACGGCTCCAGCTGTAGTCTAATTTCCATTGTAAATATATGAGTCTGGCTGACAATTTCTGCTTCTTCTAAATGCAGGCCGAACAGCTGTTGACGAAGTTGATGATAATTTCTCAAACATACCAAAGCCAGCTGCTTTGAAATGTCGAGTGCTAAATAAACAGATGATATAAAAAGGCAATAATTAGGGTACTTTGTGTTTGAAAAGTATAGCAAAAATGTCGTGTGTTCTTAGGCTCTGTTTGCGAGCCGCATTTCGGCAATAGTGTCGTGTGCTTGACTGTGTATCAGTGCTTTAACAAGCTATTACATCATGATGTTATTTGCTGAAGTGGTCCACCATGACACAGAGTCTCAAACTAAACTGTCGCAGCGAATTTCCGACGATAGCGTGGTGGCTCTGCCCACACCAAACAGTCCAACCCCGTGTTGTCCGTATCATACCATCCCATCCCACAGCCCACCCCTCATCCCCTACTGACACAGTAACACTATACCCCAACCAGCCCACCTTAGATACCTCAGACACCTTAGAGGCCTTAGACACAACCCATGACGCTGACCTTGACCTCTGACCTCAGGTACGGTCCAGGGGCCGCATGAGAAGCGCATCCTCAACGACCTGCTCAAAAACTACAATGTGCTGGAGCGGCCGGTGGCCAACGAGTCTGAACCGCTGGTGGTCAGCTTCGGGCTCACACTACAGCAGATCATTGACGTGGTGAGTGACGATCGGACGGCAGGACCGCGCAGAGGGTCTGACCCCGGGTCAAGGGTTCCCTCAGGGGCCCCCGTGATGCACACTCACGGTCCGTGCATGGGCGAGGCGTATGAGGAGACGCATGTGTTGTCAGGGAGACATGAACGCGTATGGTTCATAAATAGCTGATCTTCCAGATTCATGACGTGAAGGAGACTATAAAGTGTAATCTCTTTTGGTAGCATCAGAATGAAATAAATAGAATAGAGTGCTAAATGATATTATGCTTGCAAGAGAATCCGACCAATAATCAAGACAATTCTGGCCCATCCATTGAATACGACTTACCTATATCGCACAAGCAAGGACTTTTCATTTTTTAAATTTCAAAATAACCGTTTCCTGGACATTTCATTCGTGAACGTCTAACAATATTCCTTTTCTTTTCTCCTCCCAACACCGTCTAATCTACACCCACGCGGGACCGTTTTTTGCGCCGTTAGCAGCTGGAGCGGCCATTTTCCCCGGGAGCAGTCACATGTGTGGCATAAACTACACAATAATGGCTGCGACAGGGCTGTGTGAGACAGATTTGCCGTTTCATTACGTTCAACAAACGAGGAACCAACGGCCCAAGTCGGCGGGGGTGTTCGGCGGAGAGAATGACACCGGGGCTGGCTAAAGCACATGACGTAAAATGGCAGCGAGCGTAACGAATAAAATTGCAGCATGGAAACAGATCAGTAGACAGATGGACGGCAGACGGATTGAGACATCAAGCCGCATCCTTTGACACGTTTCTATTTCACTGACATTATATTTTTTATCAATTTTCCATGCTGTTTCCCCTCCACAGGCATTCATTACGATCATTATACATGGTGCACTATATATTACTTTTGTATTTCACAATTGGTAATAATGATCATACCGTGCATGCAATTTATGTTGTAATTAAGTGAGGAAAAGTCGCTGGAAAACACAGGATAAGTCGGCACTCAGCTCATGAATATCGTTAATGTTACCATGCATATTTTTAGCGTGATGACCGTAGATTCATGTATTTACAGCGGCTTCTTTTCCTTATTAATTAAAAAAGTCTCTTTCAAATATTCAACTAACAACCTTCTCACCGCTTCGCATTCCGTCCGGTGGTGCCCATTGTGCCGAAGACTGAGCGTTGATGTCAGATAGCGTGTTACCGGCCGGTTTCGGTCGTGTCGTGTTGGCACTCCGGCTCTGAGAGCACCGGTCAGCCGCTCGGTTCGGCTCGCGGCGCCGTCCGACGCCGCTGCCTCCATCGACCTGTCCGAGCCGGCGACGGTGGCTCCGGACCGGGCCGGGCCGCGCTGCCGCCTCCTCCTCCCCGGTCCGCGGGGACTGCCTCCCGACGGAGAGCCTGCAGAGGCCGACACCGCTCCCTGAGAGGCTGCACAGCCGACACTGCCCGACATAGGCCAATAAAGGCCGATACAGGCCGACACAGGCCGGCACCGCTCCCTGAGAGCTGCAGAGGCCGACACCGCTCCCCGAGAGCTGCACAGCCGACACTGCTCCCCGAGAGCTGCACAGCCGACACCGCTCCCTGAGAGCTGCACAGCCGACACTGCCCGACATAGGCCAATATAGGCCGATACAGGCCGACACAGGCCGGCACCGCTCCCTGAGAGCTGCACAGCCGACACCGCTCCCTGAGAGCTGCACAGCCGACACTGCCCGACATAGGCCAATAAAGGCCGATACAGGCCGACACAGGCCGGCACCGCTCCCTGAGAGCTGCAGAGGCCGACACCGCTCCCTGAGAGCTGCACAGCCGACACTGCCCGACATAGGCCAATAAAGGCCGATACAGGCCGACACAGGCCGGCACCGCTCCCTGAGAGCTGCAGAGCCGACACTGCCCGACATAGGCCAGTATAGGCCGATACAGGCCGACACAGGCCGACCCCGCTCCCTGAGAGCTGCACTGGCCGACACAGGCCGATACAGACCGACACAGACCAAAAAAGGCCGATACAGGCCGGTGCAGGCCGATACAGGCCAACATAGGCCGATACAGGCCGACAGGAGTTGGCGGGGGACTAAGACCTCACAAGAAGTGTTGTAGTGCTAAGCGAGCTAATGGATGTGATGGGATTGCTTTTTGACAGCTCTCACAGAATCGGCCACCCAGGCCATATGATAAATCAAATGCCAAATAGATCAAACAGGGGAATGCCGCATAGGTAGCCCAAATTTGGCACACAGCGGAGGGTAGCAATGTACCGGGAAATACAGCTCGCCATGTGGCGGCTCGTGTGTCGTATATAAATAATGTAATTAATGAACAGAGATCACATGTGCAGACGCCGAGCCAATAAACGACGAGCACAGCACTGGATCCGGGATCACAGCAACTAGCAATCAAATATAAATATCATATGATCCGCTTCTACACGGAACTAACCAAATCTGATTAATCTTGTATCTAATTTGGGTCTTGGGAAGATAATGTAGGTACAGGTAGTCTAGCGATTCGGTGTAAAATATTGCCAACATTTTTAGCAGACAGCGTACATCGCTTAAACGAGTGAGCTGCAGTAGAACTCTAATTACATCACCCATAATGACAGTCAAACGTGCACAATCGTCGGTCTCTCCACATATTGCCGCTTCTTTGTGTCGAGAGCCTGCGGTCGGCTCGCGTCCTGTCACGCCTCTTTGTACGACTGCTGCGGTTGTTGTCCTTTCCGTCATTGTTCAGCGGGTATATGAGCCATTGGGTACCGTTTCCGTGTATGGTAGCCGATGTATGGGAGTCGGTGGTCAGTCTTTTTTACGCTACTCCTCTGTGAGAATATGGGAGCCTTCTGGCCCGCAATTACTGTGCTGCAGGTGGTCGCTCCGCGTACTGTGGCTGCTCAGTGCGATAAGTGGGAGCCTGTTGGTCGGTTCTCTGTGACTCTTATTCACATCCTGTCATTTCTCTCTGCGAGTGTGGAATGCTATTGCTGTTCTGCTCCTCCGAGTGGGAGTAGGCCTTTCGGAGCCGTTGGCCGGTCCACATAGCACCACCGCTTAGCTCAGGGTTCCGTAGCCACACCTGCACCCGGCGTTTCAGGCCCGCTGCGCCCGGCGCGGCGGCCCCTCTCCGCTACGCCCGCCGATCCAGGGCTGCTCAGCCCGCCGTTCCACCGCTGCTCCGCTCGGCGTTCCGAGCTGTCGGCCGGCGCGCGGTCGGCGATATATGCCGGCCAGCCGGAGCAGGCGCCCAATCCACCGCCGGATGGCTCCATACCTCCCGGCTGACGATGGGCTTATTGGGATCAGCGCACGAGCGCCACGCCGAAACAGGCCGCGGCCCGGGCCGGCCAGCTCTCCCGACAGGGCCGGGCGTGCCTGTGACGGGTGTAGCAGGAGTGAGCCACCTGTGTATTTGTTCAGAGAGCACAAAGAATAGCACAAAGCTATAGGTAAAGTGCATGATCTGGATAATATCGTTAACGATGGTGTAGCGACTCCTGCGTAAAGCATGGCTGATGTAATCTTTTGCTGTTGGGTAGATCCCACCTCCGGAGAGATTCTATGCATGAATAGCTATTTGATGCGGTAAATCCTCTTGGCAGTTATCCTTAGGAAAGGCTTTTATGATCGCATAGCTGTCAGATATGAAGCAGCGATTTTCTCGTGCCTCCGTATAATACCAGTGAATGCCGCGCGGCTTCCCATATTGTGCTGGGTGGAACTCGTCATTTGGTCGTCGCCGTGAGCAGATTATTTACAGCCCTGCGGGCAGATGTAAGGGCGGCTGACGTTCTGTCTATTATACAGTGCCGCAACTGGCAAGCACCGATGACTAAAGTCATGAGAGGGCAGCTTTAAAACAATTATTAAATGGCAGTTTTTGTTTCCAAGGACCTGTAGGAGACTTCACGTGTGTGCCACGTGGGTGGGGTGTGACAGGTTTATTTGTTGATTATGATGGTGTGTGGGTTGGGAGGCTGCAGTCCTCTATCACCTGACGCACCGTCCTCTAAACTGTTGCTGTCTGTTTCCAATTCGCCGCCGTAGGATGAGAAGAATCAGCTGCTAATTACGAATGTGTGGTTAAATTTGGTAAGTGACTGGCCTGCCGATAACTAGATGGAACCGCTGTCTGCTCATGTCGGGACCGTCCGCACCTGTCAGGCTGAACGACTCCTCAAAGTCAGCTGCCGGTGGCACGATCAATAGCTTTCTATCAAAAGCTTTGCTATCGCCTTTCTCTGTTGGGCAATGCTCTCTTTGGCAGCGACTACCTGACATATGTGGGCAGTGAGTTCTCATAACAGTCCATACCTGCACTTGTCGCTTCATCAGACCCGCATGCATCATCACATTTTGCATGTCTCAGGCCACCCACACTATCCGTTATTTCGTCAGCAGACTGTTTCAGTGCATTTCGTGAATAATGTGAATGGTAATACGGTTGTGATTTTTGATGTTCAAGGCACCCCTGCTAGCTGCACCACTATACCTACCACTTTTATCGCCTGACTTTGGCCAGTCAGGGTACACAAGGCGTGAATAGTACAAGCACATCTGCTTGTTTAGCATGCATGGGATGGCTTTCCCCACGAGATTCTGCTGTTTATTTCATTGCAATGTTCCACGTCTGAGGAATATTGAAGCCAATTTACCTTCACTTTTGTATTTTTCTCCCTCCGCTCTTATCCCTTCTTGCTTCATATTGCTCTCCGTCTCATCTTCGCTCTTAGGTGATTTGTATATTTTGGTTTCATTTTGAATACCTACGTACTCGAAGCTTTTTACTGTCGTATTCCTTCCATTACAAATAAAAGGTATGAGACAGATTGGGCATTGAATCCATTTTCATTAGGTTTTGTCATGGCCTTTGCGAGTTGAAATGCTTTAGACGAAATAACCCTTGCAGCCATCTCCTCTTATCAACTATGCACCAGTCAGTGTTTGTTGTCTTCATATAAGTGCGCTTTTAAAGATAAAGAGCCTACAGTTGACAACTTTGCCAATGGAAGGCTGCCCGTACGTCATTTACAGCTGTTGTTGTGTGACCCAGGAATGGAATGATGTGAATCTGAGGTGGAACGCCTCGGAGTACGGGGGCGTCCAGGACCTCCGGATACCACCGAAAAACATCTGGAAACCAGATGTTCTAATGTACAACAGGTACGTTCTACTGTGGCCGAGGTGTGACATGCATTCCTAGAATGTTGGCAACAAATTTGAACATGCTCAATCCTCACATGACACATCCCACTGAGCCTTCTTGGAACGATTTTTGGTGATATTCTAGCCCGCGCCCCAGTGGCGGTCTCAGCCAACTTCGCCCTAGTGGGGGAGGGGGGGCATATGTTACCACCCACCTCTAACTCATAAACTAAGAGGGCTAGAAAGACGCGGTAAAAAGCAGTCGATAGCTCTCAATGCGTACGTTTGAAAGTATTTCGGTCATTTTTCACCTTAGAACAATATTGGGTTCACCAGAGGTCATCAAAGGTCAAAATTTGCCAATTGTCATTATATTTTTCAGAAAACATGCCGCTATCTCAGGAACTATGGTAGCTAGAAAACGCATGGAACAGCAAACGATAGCTTTTGAACTCTTCTTTTGAACAGGTCATTATCAATATTGACCTCAGGTCAACGGTTTAGCCTCCAGAGGGCAAAAACTCCAAAAATAGCTGTTTTTACGAAAAGTGTTTTTCGACAATAACTTTCGACTACAAAAGCCACGACATTTCTATTGCCAGAATCGTGTTCCCCTCGCCGAGACGCGTCGAATGAACTATAATTTGACCTTGAAAGGTCAACTTGAAAATTTGACCGCAGGTCAAGGTCATGACCTTACCGGAAAAGGTCATGTTGCATATCAGTCGGTGCGTCTCAACGAGAAAAACACAATGAGACCATCCCCAGCGTTCTATCTCTTTCCAATCGCGAGTTATTGGCAAAAAACTGTTTGTAGCCTCAAGTGACCTCGGATGACCTGTCTATAGAGGCTATCAGCAAAAATGACACCTTGGTCATCACGAGTGGACTAAATCATTGTGATTCTGAAATATTTGGACTGTTCCGATGCGTACACACGGATCTAGAGGCATTTTCATTTTTCTCCATTGACTTGTAATGGAAAGGTCACGCCACTGACCTGACCTTAGGTCACGGATATAAAAAATCCGAGATATACAAATTGTAGGCGCCCATGACAGCATGCAATCCACCAAGTTCAAACATTTCTAACAAACACTGCAGGCTGGACATGATTATAAACTTTTTTAGGCTTGGTCAGTTAACTTGACCTGGTGACCTGACCTGACATGACCTGGGGTCAAAAATTTCACACATTGTCCAAAATTGATATACCAAAAGCTACCCCAAGCGTCGCGGCACTACGCGCCGCGGTTTTTTATTCACACGCAAAAAACGCGACAGGGTGGTAACATATGCCCCCCCCCCCCCCCACACTGGGGCGAAGGCTAGACTGGGAACACTAAAGCTCTCTAAGTCAAGTTATATGACTTAAATACTGTATGCGATTACTTCGAGCCAAGCCTAAGTAACTTTTTGGGTGAAGCTTGAGATCATGTTTGCCAGTTTCATTTGCATGTTTCTTTGTCTTGTGTGGCTTTCAGTGCGGACGAGAAGTTCGACAGTACGTATCCCACCAATGTGGTATTAAAAAACAACGGGAGCTGTCTATATGTACCTCCTGGTATTTTCAAGTCGACATGCAAAATCGACATCACCTGGTTTCCGTTCGATGACCAGGAGTGTAAAATGAAATTCGGTTCATGGACGTACGATGGTTGGCAGGTAAGTACTCGCCCCCTCTCCTCTCAGGTGCTTTGGAGCAGGGCTTCGAGGATTAATTGCATCCCACTGCTTTTCATATTCTCAACGCCATTTTTGTCAGGAAATGATCCGAGATTAATTATACAGGTGTAGCATCAAATGATCTTGACTGAAGTTATTTTGAATGCTGATTTTATCATCTTGCCATCTGCCAATCAGTCACAAAGGGATGTCCAAGGCCGTAGCGAAAATTATTCGCATAGGTAACGCAAGGAAGCAAATTTATTTCGGTGCAACAGCCTGTCACCATGCGTGAGATCCACCACTACCAAACATAACGCCCTGTGTGCGTGTCTGTGTGTCTTGTTTGGCGTCACCAGCTGGACCTGATCCTGCCGTCGGACGAGGGGGATGCCAGCAACTTCATCCCCAATGGGGAGTGGACCCTGCTCGGTGAGATCGCAGTCCATGCGGGGCCGGCGTCACCCCACCGCACATCACCGCGTCGACATAGCAAACAGATAATTAAGCGCACACGACATACATGTAGTGATACATGTTATGTATTCGCACGACGACTATATGCACTCTAACCTGTCTCGCCTATCATGGCTATGATGTCTCGCCTACCACTATTTCAACACTTCACAGTTTATGTCTTTATTGACACTTTCCGAGCAGCAGATGACAAAACATTGCCATTTTGTCCGTATATATACCTACTACGCCTAGCTCAAAAGCATCACGTCATCCAACGAACAAAGTTTAAGATACTTTATCCGATTATCTAGCGCTCTTATCACTCGTAAATCAGAGTACGTATGACACAAAAAACGCAGAGCAGCTCACAAGCACAGTCCATATGATCTCTGATCAGGAAATCACCTGTTGCAGGTATAGAGGATTCTTCATGGCTCCGAGTGGAAGATAAGGATATCTTTTCCAAGCGGGTTACTGAAAAACCGAGCGACGAAGGAGCGAGGTTTTTCTGTAACACGCGAGGAAAAGATATCCGATCTTCCACGAGTGAGCCATGAGGAATCCTATATCTTTCTATGTTGAGGTTTATTCTTAATTAATTAAATATTATATTCAAATGTACTCATCTATGTAAAAAAAAGATTTAGAATAGTTTGTTTTATTTTATAAGTTTCATACATATATGTATATGTAATGGCTGTTTATAAACAGCCATTAAAATGCCGTTCGGTTATTGACCTATCATCAGTTGAACTCTTGATTTTTGGCTATGAACCCTCGAGACCTTATCTTTGCATCTCAGAGAGATGCAGAGATAACAAATTCTTATCTTTGCATCTCAGAGGAGTGCGAGATAGAAATATCCCTGCACTGTAGACCCAATGGCAAATAAACCTCAACTAGAAAGATATCAACAGGTATGCTAAATAGCAACTTCCTAGTCTTGATATTGTTAAAGGTAGTGTGCCAGCTTTCTTGGACCGTATGGAGTTAATGGCCCAGATAAGGAGAACCGGATTTTTAGAACTTATCCATACCTTCAAAACTCATGGAAACGTCTTAAATTCTTCAAATTTTGAGTACCCCAGTGCGAAATTCGCCCCGACGGGTTGTCGGTCGTACCCCAACCACATTTCACACCACTATGAACAATAAATGCACACACTGAAATCGCTATTACCGATATGCTCATCCAATCAAGTTTCGATAAACCCGTTCATCATCATCTCCTGCGGTTTCGAACACGCCTGTTAGGTGGCTTCTGATGCTCGTCGAGGTCGGAATTTCCAAATACGCGTGGTGCGTCGGGCCGCGCGCTCTGACTTCGGCCAAGAAAAATGCGTCAGCTGATCATTGCCATTTCTGCCACTTGCGTGTGGTGAAATGGGGTCATAACTTATAAGACGGCTTTTTCATATCAATTATTTTACATAAAATCATATTTCAAACCATAAATAATGTTCGACAGTCAAATAAAAGAAACAATACCAATACGGGCTTACAGTTTAAGGCTCGACATTGTGTTGTCTACGATTAGACAGCTGATAACTCATTCCCGTACGTCGTATGGTCGTAACACTATAATGACCTTTGCTTATTGTCACAAGTGCGCCGCATTCGCGATTGTTGCCCGACGCCTGTTTGCAGGTGAGCCCACTACAGTTGTTATACATATCTAAAAACCGAAAAACTTTTAGGCGAAAAAGGCACTATTCCAGGCCCATTTTTGATTTTTTTTTTTGCGATATTAGGTAAAAACAGAAGCTTCTTATCCTAGGAAAAATAAAATGGGAAATCTTTCAAAGGTGGCACACTACCTTTAAACGACGACAGCATAAAGTGAAAAAGTGTGCCTCCGTTAAACCTGCTGTGATAATTGCGTACAATCGGAACACTGAATGTTGTACGTGCACCTGTTCTGCTAAGCTAGTGGAAGAAACCGTAACTTTCCTATTCGTTTTGTTTCAGTATTAACTAATATAGCTCTTAAAATGATCAATAATTGCATGTTCAATTAGAGCTCTGCATTAAATAACCGAGAATAAATAAGAGCCAGTGTTTGAACGTATGCTCTGTTTTGTTACCTCTCCTCTGTTTTAGGTGTACCTGGAAAGCGTAACGAAATCTCGTACGCCTGTTGTCCACAACCATATATTGATATAACGTACACAATACTGATCCGAAGACGGACGTTGTACTATTTCTCCAACCTAATAGTACCGTGTGTGCTGATCGCCTCCATGGCCGTGCTGGGCTTCACTCTGCCGCCCGACAGCGGAGAAAAACTCAGCCTAGGTAAACAGGCGCCCGGCCGGCTGTCTGGCCTGGTCGGAGCGCGCCTCTCTCGAGTGTATGTCCCGGGTGAAGGAGGTTGTCAGGGAACTCATCAGTCTCAGACATGATCAGAGATTCTCCAAGGGCTAAGGCTCGTCTCAAACGGATACCGTTTGACAGTGATCCTGGTTCGGCGACAGGATCAAGTTGAAAGCCCAGTGGCGGCTTGCGTAAATCGGAACAGCCGCAGCTGAAACTGCGGCTGGGTGGCTGATTATCAAAAGTCCTCCCTGGCACCCTCCTCGCCTGCAGTGCTAGTCCGAACCGTTCGCGCGACTGAAGTATCGCTCGCATGCTCACATGTGTGACGTTTTGCAGGTATTCCGGGGAAGCGCAATGAGCTATCGTACGCCTGTTGCCCTCAACCCTACATCGACATCACGTACTCAGTCAGAATCCGTCGGCGAACGCTCTACTACCTTCACAACCTGGTCCTCCCCGGTATCCTGATATCCACCATGGTTCTACTGGCCTTCACTCTGCCGCCTGACTCGGGCGAGAAGCTGACTCTAGGTAGGACGGGCTCGCCGACATAGCTGCCCTTCAGGCAGCCACAAGGCCCTTCAGGCAGCCACCAGGCCCTTCAGGCAGCCACTCTAGTTCCCAGATGGCCACTTGGGTCCTTCAGGCCGCCACTCTGGCTCATGAGGCTTCTGTTTTGGTCCATTAGGCACCAGTTATTGCGTGCAGCCTACGGACATATTCAGCAACTAATATTTACTTGCACCTTTGTGATTATTCAGTTCAATGCGATTAGTTTGCGCTTTCATGGTTGTTGGAATCATACAATGAGGTGCACCACTTTGCAACTCTGACAAAGCGCTGATGTAATGTAATCAATGCTAGGGATGTTTGGTACGTGTGAAACCCAGTTCAAACAAGAGCACAGAAGAGGCTTTGGTGATGTTTGGTTTGTCTCTATCTGCCTCTGTCGCCGTGATACCTCCACCGCCGGTGGGCAGCGCTCGGCGGCCCCAGGCCGCGCGAGTCGCCCGCTCTCTCTCTGTCTGTCGAGCTCTCTGTGTCACTCCCGGGGACTGGTCCATCCCGCCTCCATCCGTCCCAGCTCTCCAGGCCGCGCGAGGTAACCTCCGTCAGAGCATGCTTTTCTCGTTTATCCCACCACTACACCTGAAATGGCGCTCGCGCTCGCGTTTATGTGTGTGTTTGTACGCGCGTGTCCGAGCGTCCGAGTGTTGTTGCGCGCGTGTCGCCTGCTGGCCACCGCTCAGCGGCCGCTGGCGTGCTGCGCAGACGTTGTGTGGTTAACACCGGCACCTGTTGCAGGCCACGAGCGCTGGCCGGTCCGGCCTGCCCCGAGGGACCTGCCCTGGCCGCGGGCCGCCCGCCCCTGTCCCGTCCGCCGCCGAGCCCGCATGGCCACCGACCCTGTCCTCCGCTGATCGGTGTCGTCCCCTCTTGCACCGCCTGTCTCCCAATCTGAGTTAGGCTTTGTTTACTCGCTCACAATTATTTCTTTTCGTTTACCATTAACCGCTTCAGTAGGGCCTCTGCGGCATTAGACACAGAGCCGCGGAGGCCGGTAGCCTCTCCGCGTCGCTTGCGCAGCGCTCTGTCGCTCTTCTCTGCGCGCTCTTTCTCGCCCTATCTATCTCAATCTCTTCTCGTTCTGTCTGTCTGTCTGTCTGGCTGGCTGGAGGCAGGTGCTCTGTTTGATCTGGGAGCTCTGCGCCGCAGCCTGATGACCGCGTCTTCTCTCCCGCCAGGCGTCACAGTGCTCCTCTCTCTGACAGTGTTTCTGAACCAAGTCGCTGCAAATATGCCAGAGACCTCAGAGGCTGTGCCCCTACTAGGTAACACAGAGCACGGCGACCCGCCGGCCGACCCGCCGGCTGGCCGGCCACGCCGCTAGAGTCTCTGCTCGACTCGATGTGCCTAACTTGCGTCGGATAAATCAATAAAAGCTGATCTCGAACCCCACCAATGTCATCTAAATCAAACCACCTAAATTTTGTGCTTGATAGCTGTTCGCTTTCAGCACTGCAGACGATGTTGCACGGTCTTTCTCGGTGTCCCTGCTGGCCCCGGCGCCGCCCTGGCTTGTCCCCGCCGCCCGCGCCGCGCGCGCTCGCGCCGCCGCCGTCTCTCGCTGCTCGTCTCTCTGTCTCACCCGCCGCGCTCTGTCTCTCTCTTTCAGACTGGTGTCCGGCGTCGGCGCTGGTGTGGCCCGTTCGTCCCCCGTGCCCGTGCCCACTCCGGCTCCCACTCACTGCTCCCATTCCTGTTTTAGGTGTTACCATTTTGCTATCGCTCACTGTCTTTCTAAATATGGTGGCAGAGAGTATGCCCACTACATCCGACGCAGTCCCACTGATAGGTAAAAACCTTTGCGTGGCCACTATCTAATAATGCTGTGGCACATCAGAGGGGACATCACAAAAGCCCGATCTCAAAATTACCCGGCGAGAGGAGGTATGACGCACAGAGCGCCCCAATGAGCTCGGTGACGGTCACATCATGTCTGTCTGTGATTTCAGGCGTCACCATTCTTCTTTCCCTGACCGTGTTCCACAATCTAGTCGCGGAGACACTTCCGCAAGTGTCAGATGCAATGCCTGTATTAGGTAGAGAGCCAGGGGTGGATGAAGCCGCGACCGGCGCCGCCCCCGCCGCCCCGCGCACCGCCGGCCCTCCCGCCCCGCACGGTCGTCGCTCTGTCTCTCTCCATCTTTCTTTGTTTGTGTGTCGGTGTGCACCCTGTCCTCCGCTGCTGAGCGGCTGGTGTGCCGGTTCTCTGGCCATTCTGTTCGTGTTCACTGTGCCCAGCCCCGGTGTGCCCTCCGTCCCGCTGTGTTCCACAGTCGCCACCCCAACTCGGCTGCATCTGTCCGGGCTGGCATGTGTGTTCGATGTGCCTCCATTACGCTCCGTCAGAGCGTGTCGCGCTCCTCCCAGCCCTCTCTCTACATCACTTTGTGATATTCTAATCACGTCTCACACTCTCTCTCTCCCTCCGAGCGCTGTGATCTCTACACCATAGGCCCCAGCACTCAACAGGAGGCTACTCCGCATGACGAGCAAAGGATGACGTATGTTTCGACACCGAGTCGCCCTGTAGCATGGCAGTTGACCATTACATACATCGATAAATACATAACGCTCTCACATCGTCACTTACCTGTTCCTCGTCAGATGAACGCTCTGAGAAAATCTGATAGTACGATTTTGATGGTTTACCGCGGGAGTTGATGAAAGGATCAGGATCGCTAGTTGTCCAGATTGCAGACTGCAGAGTACGAAAAATACGATACAGACCAAGCGAGGACCGCAAAGGCAATGAGTTGGCGGGAATTCAATCGATAGAACTCTCTCCATTTGTCAATAAGCTTCTTTTTGTAGCTTGATGTGACATTACGGGCTTTGAGTTTAACCTATTTGAAAAAAAAAAAATCGGAAATTTATCTTTTCTGGCAACAACCAGCTATGAATACCCGTAAATGTCTCACAAAACATGACAGTGATTGCATGCAAAGCGCGATCCATTTTCCTTGGCATAAAACCGGCAGCTAAGGTGAGTTTTATCACGGGCTGCCCATAACTTATACTATACGACCTTTTATGGCGCAATAACGTTGCAATCAGGACGTTTTGATTTGCCAGTAAATTGTGTCAGATGCAACTAATAGGGTTTCCAGAAAACACAAAAAGTCGTAGGGATCGTGTGACGATGAAGAGGTGAGGCGAAAAGTAAAGGGAAAGGCAGACACAAAAATTTCGCTTGTCTGGCGGTACTTCAGTTTGAGTCTGCTGTGCCTCCCTGTCATTTCTTACTTGCGCTGTGTTGATCAGTCAACGAATTTTGACCTTACGTTGGGAATAAACAGTGCCTCTTCACATATGGTCGTTAATTACTGTTTCAAGTGATATTCATCAATCATCTGAAAAACAACATCCTTGTCGTTAGGGTTTTGTTTTGCGAGCGCGATCAGACAGCAGGCACAGAAAAGGATAGCGCCAGACGTGCTACCTTTCTGTGAGCGCGCGCTGCCCGCACGATCCGGGCAGACGGTGCAGCCGCGTCTGCCGACTGAGCTTTGCCAGCTCTGTGCGAGCTGCGGCGAGCTGCCGGCCGAGCGGGCTCTATTGACCGGCGCCGCCGCTGCGAGCCACGGCCGGCCGTGCGCCACTGTCGACAGAGAGCTGTAGGTATTGGCGGCGCGGCCCCTTTATCCGGCCGTAATTTACACGGATATACTGCCGGCAACTATGACTTATGTCGTAATGTCACCGAACCATCACTGGCTTCTCGGTGCTATAAATTCCCCGTGGGACAGCGCAGATGAGAAACTGACTCAGTGTGGAAATGGTTGGATTGGACCTATACCCGACCGAGCCATATGGGAGAGAGGAAATTAGCAGACGAAATTCTGCTTATCTACCGCTTAGATTAGCAAATTGACATTCGTAATTTGTAAGTTTATATTGCTTGTCAAGAGTATGGTGTAAAGAGCGAATAGATCCGTTCACATAAATAAGTGTTTCAATATTTTATCTTGAAGACAAAGAAGTCTTGCTTTCCCGGGCGTGCAATCCATTCTGGCGTAACTGGATCTGACAGTTGCCTTATTCAAATACCAAGAGAGCAACATCATCAGCACGTAGACAGCCTGCAACGTGAAGATCAGTGCACTGCAGCTAATTTCTACTGATGTCTCAGGCTCATTTGATAACCGTGACTTCGAGCACTGCCACCGGTCTGTGTCAGCGTCAGCGCCGCTGCACTGCACGCTGCAGCGGCGCCTCTCTGTGTCTGTGTGTCTGTCTGCGGCCGACGCCCCCCCCCTCCCCCCTCTGTGTCGGTGTGACCCCGCTCCGCAGTGTGACCGTGGCGCGCGTGTTATAACGGGCAATGTATCTGATACGTGACACTAAACCAGCCAGGCACAAGGGCGCCATCCAATCAGGTCCGCTTTCAAAATATTTAATTTGTTTTTAATTTCAAAGCATTATTTCTTCTTGCTTCGTGATCAATTGGCTTTCTATAAATTGATTGGAATTGAACCTCTTTGGTTCTATTCCCACCTCCCTTGCAAACTTCAACCTATTGATAGCTGTTTCTGGCTATCTTTACACATACCTATTGCCGATAGGCATGTGCAATATCTCTGAGTCAGCACAGAGATGTGTCTAAATTTGGTAACTGGCGCACTTGTGACCTGCCTAAACAGACCGCGGTAATAGCCAATCATGCCTCCCTCGCCGGCCTTCACGGAATTCATTGAAAGGATGCTGCTGCCGTCCAATTCCCTGCGGAATTTCTCACTGAGATCCGTGGTGTCCCATCTGATGCGCCATAAAGCATTCGCATCTCTCCATGGAGCTTGCATAGATTACACGTCACTTTGTTTGCAGATGGAAATATGTTTTGCATAACTCACATAAATATGTTAAAGATGTAACTAAAATATGCATGCATTAAACCGGACAATTAACCACAGGGATGCTTGAGGCACTCCATTAAACTGATAAACGATCCGACTAAAACACTTTTAAAATGACAAGCCTATTGCTATTGCATGGCTCCTGTCATTCACCGTGTTTGAAGCATGCATATTTGACCGTGTCGCTTTTCCAAGTGAAAACTTGTTTCACATAAGTGTAATGCCTCTAAATGTGTTATCAGTGTTCAATATGTGTGTGTATGACTTTTTGTTTTGGTAAAGTAAGGATAGTTTTTAAGCATTGAGCAATTCGAGGCAAAAGGAACATTGCAGCCGACTAATAATTAATTTTTGTTTAAGTGAACTGTGTATCTTTTTAAGTTGTTAGGCACAAACCAATTAGTTAACTACGTTTATTTGAACATTCATTCAGTTTCCAAGCACTGAAGCAATAAGTAAGATTTTGCTGACAGTATCTTCATGTAAACAAAGTTCTCCCAAGTTTTGCTCTAAAATGAAAAACGTTTTAATTTCAATATCTCAATATTTATTCAGTGAAGAAGCAACTGAACGTTGCAGACTCACATTAAATCTACAACTGTTCACTAAATTAGAATAATCAAATGTAGATTACGGAGGATATGGTGAATTATACAGCTTGCAACAGACTCGTGTATTGCTATGTATAGACGCGTCGGTAACAACGGGTCCAGCGCAGCAGTATAGGACCAAATCAGGTCCGCTGTTATCTATGTGCATACGATTAAGCCTAAACTAAGTCATTGAAGCTTGTTTGACTATGCCCCCGGACCTGGACCTGAGCCCAGTTAAATCTAACCAGCGCACGAGCTGTTTGCAAAGCTTACATCCATTACGTTTTCGTCTGAATCAATAATCACCTGTGTTGACAAGGGCTGTGTGCCGTTAGTGGCCGTCAGTCGTCGGCGCGGCTCGGGCTCGGTCCCTGTTCAGTTCAGACCGCTGCCGTCCAGCGGGGCGCAGGTCTATTTCTGACCGCAGCCGCCGGGAGCGCCGCCGCCGCCCAGTCTGACGCCCTCCGTACCACCAGGGACCTACTTTAACTGTATCATGTTCATGGTGGCGTCATCGGTGGTGAGCACGGTGCTCATCCTCAACTATCACCACCGCTCCGGCGAGACGCACGAGATGGCGCCCTGGGTGAGCACATTGCCCCTGAGGGAGCACACTGCCCCAGAGTGAACACGCAGTCCCTTCCCATCCTCAACTACCACCACCGTTCCGGCGAAACGCACGAGATGGCGCCCTGGGTGAGCACACTGCCCTTTCCCTCGCCCCCTGAGTGAGAACACTGGCCCAAGGTGAGCACACTGTCTATCCCACTCGTCTTCTATAAGTGTCACGACTCGACTCAGCCTGTTACTAGAGACTTGTGTCGTTATATGTACAGTCCTCAGCTTTCGACGGCTGACCATTGACAGACGTCAATACATCTTATTCGTACACTAAACGTGTAACATATTAGCATATTTATAGTTATTATTATTATATATATAGTTAGCATAATTCTAAACGTTTTAGCATATTTCGACACACGTTATAGTGCACGATAGAATCCGGAGGCGCCCTCCTTATCGTGTTCCTTCAGCACGTTCCAAACTGCATAGAGGCATTCTCACAAACCAAGCTCCTGCCTAACCTGCACCACCTCCAGTCCCATGACACTTTTTAACCGTGCTTCTGTGTCACATTTTGAGGTCTGATGGGGCCCGTTCCAAATGTCGAATGTACTTCTGTACTGCTGTCTTCTCCCAGACCTAGTGGCGCCCTCTCTGCGTGCTCCTGCAGCAGCTCCCAGGCCATAGTGACGCCCTCTGTAGCCGTACTCCTTCACCAGTTCCCGACGCTAGTGGCGCCCCTCTAATACTCATTTCTACTCCGTCAGGTTCGGAGCGTCTTTCTGCAATGGATGCCGTGGCTGTTACGCATGTCACGGCCCGGCGAGAAAATCACACGCAAAAACATCATCATGAACAACAAGATGAAGGAGCTGGAGCTGAAGGAGCGCTCGTCCAAGTCACTGCTGGCCAACGTGCTGGACATGGACGACGACTACCGGGGCGGCCTGGCGCCGGGGCCGCTGACGCTGGCCGCCAACAGCGCCAACTACACGCGCCTACCGCCGGGCCAGTCGGTGGACGACCTGGCGGCGCCCGGCTGCCTGGCCGGCTGCGCGCGCGAGCTGCAGCTGATCCTGCGCGAGCTGCGCACCGTCACCGACCGGCTGCGCCAGGACGACGAGGAGGCGGTGGTGACCAGCGACTGGAAGTTCGCCGCCATGGTGGTCGACCGCCTGTGTCTCATAGTGTTCACGCTGTTCACGGTGGTGGCCACGGTGGCCGTGCTGCTCTCGGCGCCGCACATCATCGTGCCGTGACGCGCCGCGCTCAGACTGGGGCCGCCGGCGCGAGCCGGGACGTGCCAGCCGGCGGCCCGGCGCGCCGTCTGCTCACCGGCCGCCGCGTCGGACTTCGACACGGCGGCGCTCGCACCGTCTCGTTACCCTGTAGCTCCAGAGGCCCGTTCTCATCCCACTTTCCACCCTACCCGCTCACGTTGGCCAACTCAGTATTTTTTAGCATTACGGGTAGTCTGTGCGAGTGACACTCTTCCTTCATACCTGAGCCGGCGAAGGCCAGGTGCCAAATACCGACGTAGGTCAGCCCGGCCCCTACTGGAGCGCCGGCCAGAGTATGCAATCGTTATCCTTCGTCCTGACGAGAGTGCTCTGTGATTCGCGATAGTATTAAAGGCTGAGTCCGTATTCCCCTCAGAGGCGTGCTCTGCCTCGCTGGAATCCTTGCCTTCTGTGATGTTTTATTTCCAGTCATATCGATTCAGACAATGGCGCAGAGTGGTTCACGTTTTAGGTGTGTGACCGAGGCGCGCATGTGCGAAAGAGAGAGTGAGAGAGATGCCTGACAGAGCCCAGTTTTGATATTGGTCGTGGTTGATCATGATTCTCGTCAGTGACATACTTGTCAAGGGATTTATACAGAGCCGTGTCGCTTTCATGCTAAGAGTAGAGTTGGGCTCATTTCAGCGAAAGTTCTTCCGAGTATATCAGCATTGTTCTTAGACTTTGAATGTCCATGGTTTTATGAATAACGAGGGTTTCTCTTAATGTTGCGCAAGAAAAGATGCCGAAATTGGACAGCAGTTTATGTCGGAGGCTGGATGGAGACGGAACAGCTACGTCGATATCCTGACTGGTATAACAGCAAAGTGTTGAAGTCCCCGACACTTCCCCAATCAATCCCTACAGAACTTACATAGACACCTTTACCATTAACGGTAAAACATCTTCCGTAGCGCGTCCTTTAAAAATGCAGAACACGTCGTCACAGCACCTTACACGAATCATTTTCTATCATTTATTGCCAAGCAGAACAAAGAATAAACAAAAACAGCTAACTCAACCACCGCGACAATATCAGATCAACGATAAACACAGCATTCACATGTTCACGGTGCATGTATAGTCGGTCCGAGCGGCAACAGAGGCTGAAGCAGCGGGCGGCGGTGCGGCCGCCGACTGCCGACAGGACAGTCGACACGGGGCGACAGACCGACGCCCGGTTCAGGCGAGTGTTCAGGTGTGGTACTTGAGCAACGTGCGCTTGGAGGCCGGACCCGTCCACGTGGCTAACCGCTACACGCATCTGCTCACTAGGGTAGGTGGTCAGCGCGCAGGCTGACCGCAGAGAACCAGACCTGAGTCTGAACGACAACATTTGGCACCAACCGGTAACAACAGTTCACACGCAGGCTAGCCCTCTGTTGTGACATCACTGCAGCTAAAACGCTGCGGGATGGACATGGCTTTACAATGACAAACTGGCACGATTCCGCTCAGAATGACCAAGTTACTTGGAATTGATCATGGAACAGCATTTCTCTGCTTAACTACCGCACAATAGGAGATAAAAATTTTTGATGCCGAAAACAATAAACAAGTTTGGCTAATTGCATTACTTCTGAACTCCTCGTAAACACGTGATTCTCTTTGAATTTACATCTTGTGAAGAATGAAATGTCACAAAGCACACTATGCTGTGATAGCCTATGCTATTGATATTGACAGATAGGCTAGTAACTAGTCAGTAGTTGCATGAGATAGTGTTTTGTCTCAACCCGTGCCCGTCAAGGCTGATGAATTTCCACCCACTTTGGGTGCGGTTGTCAACGTTCCTAATTTCTCTCGCACTCAACTCATAGACGATCTACGAAAAAGCCGCCTCCGGTAAGGACAAAATCCAAACAATTAAAATACCACCAAAGTTTTATAACGTAATAAGTCCAAAAAGCAACTGACTTACTTATGGCAAACCTATGTCAAATTTCGTAATTTGCGATTTAATATTTAAAACGGCATTTTATCAGGCATTGATGTAGACCCTATAGCCTAAAAGAGCTAAATACCGAAAAGAAATTGAAATTGCTTATGCACTTTTCCGTTAGCTCTAATTCCATCAGATATGGAGATTTGGAGATTTCTGTCAAATATTTAGGTAGATCGATGTTGAAAGAAGATCGAAGATCGGTATGAGACAGAATTAAAGCAAAACGTCTTTCGACAAGTTGCTATACGTTGCCTTGGCACATTTTTGGACCAAATAACGGGACGAAGCAATTGGAACTATGTACATATCAAGAAAATTGTCAACACTGAAAATTCTACTTTTGAGGTTTGATCATCGGCCATGCGTGTCAAGAATCACAAGAGCTAAACATTCGAACAAATCCTTCAATCGGCGAAACACCTTAACGCACATTTTACAAAGGAATGTGTCCAATCATAAAATTTTGAAAGGGGCAACTGAGCTAATTGAAACTAATTGTTTGAAATAAAACTAAATATCTATTGACTATTAATGCTTAGGTTACTTACATAAAAACTCAATTTAGAACTAAGAGTGACATTTTCATCTAAATAACAATGCGTGACGTTTGTTTTACTCGCAACAGGCGCACATGGCAATAGCTTTTCCATGCCAACTCATCCAATTTAGAACTTTAAACGGATAAACCTTGGATAAGCCCCGTTTTTAAAAAGACACAGCTTTTCACAAACGTTAGCAAACAAAAAGTCCAACCTTTCCGTTCAGACGAACGCTTTACCAGCTGCGCCCGCGCAGATAGGGAGTAGTTCGATACAGCTGTAGGAACAGGAGGATGGGACTCATCTCGGTACAAACATCATATCAGCCGCTCCGAGACACGCAGAGACGCGGTGATCGCATGCGCGCACTTCACACCACTGACCGCCGTTAGCCAGCGCGAGCAGCGTCAGCACGGAGTGAACAGCCACTCGACTGCGCTACGTCCGCCGTCAGTGGCTGTTTGAACGGACACAGACACAGACGTCGGCGTGCGCTCCGCTGCTCCTAGCCTCTACGACCCACGGGGCGCATCCCGCCGGCACCCAACGCCCGCCCGCAAAACAATGCGATACAAAACGGAGTGACAGGGCACGGCACGGAACGCCACAGCGGCACGGCACGGCACGGAACAGCACGTGTCCGTGACGTTTGCTGGCTGCCGTGCCACGGCGCTCACCGTCCGTGCATCAGCATCATTGAGCAGTTCCTCCTAATAGCTCTACAACCGTCTAATTCCGACATAGACTCAGGTAACCCAGGCGCCACAAGTGCCATATGAGAACCATGCTGCAAGAGACTGGCAGGGTTTACTGTTAAAGAATTTGTGTGCTGCTCGATTGGTATAACTGTATGAGTGCCTTTACAGTCATTGATCGGTCATTGATCAATGCCCGAAAAGCACACAATTTTCCGATAAACGTAGCCGTTTCTTAGCAAAACGGCAAGAAAACAAGTGGGCTTACTTACATAGATTCGGTATTAAATGCTCTCACGTAACAACCAGACGGGGAACCTCTCATGCATACGCCACGACTCATCACCATCTGCAGGTGTAAGCACAATTCGGGCTTCATGGGATCATCCAGCTCTGTCTTTTGTCTAGCCCGCTTCCCATCCGATGCTGCACTCTGAACCACGGAGTTTTGACACAGTCAGATTCCAGCACCAGCCATTGGGCGTCCTCTGTACGTTTTGCCATAGGACAGCGGACTCAAACACCAGCCCCTGTGCGTCCCCCTGTCCCGTCTTACCGCAGGACAGCCGAGTTTGCGCCCCCGTGTCCGTTGTAGGCCTCTCTCGACACTATCGACCTCTGCTAGTGCGGCGCCGCCGGCCGCGTCCCCTGTCGGCAGTGACGGGACCGGCCTCGGTCGGCAGGCCCTACCGGCCCTGGTACGTCTTTATGATGGTTTCCTGGTCGACGTACTCGAAGATGTACGGCGCGTCCATGAGGATGCCAATCGTGCCGGCCGTGGTCACCACGAAGAAGAGGTACAACTGTAACCGGTCGATCACCATGGCCACGTACTTCCAATCTTCGCGAATCTGAAACAGGGAGACATCGTGATGGTTCGTAAGCCAGCCTTATCCATAACGTCAATCGGTCATCCAACGCTACCTACTTTTGTATTCAGCTCTAAGCTTCCGATAAATAGCAGCCGCTAAGGTACGACTAAGAATAATGAAGTCAATGAATATCGTCGGCAAAAGCTCCACCCTGACACTGAAATAAAAATGAAGCCAAATCGATTCGGTGGCTTTTCTCGAGCGCTCGTCATTATGCATAGTCCGACCGCCCATAATAGACGACCCACAGCCATGCTGCGAATTGCTCATCGAGCCAATCCAGTTGTCAAGGCCCCCAGTCACACTGAATTCAAAATGAGTTATCGACAGCAGAAATGAACCCTTTGAACTTTGTCATGTTTAGTTTTCAGCTCGGGTCCTGGTCCCTACAGCTAATCGATGCCCATGCGACATGACTATCAATATTGTAAAACTATGGACCCCTGGGCGCCTCTCTTTCTTCCCTCTTCAGCCTTGCCTTTCCAGACATCTCCTTCTCTCTGTCCCTCTCCCTCTCCCTCTCCCTCTCCCTCTCCCTCTCCCTCTCCCTCTCTCTCTCCTTCTGCGTCTCCCTCTCCCTCTCCCTCACCCTCTTCCTCCATTCTACCCCTTCTCACCTGTATATACTCGTTCTCATTTCTGAGGTGCTCGGCTATGAACTCGACGGCCTCGGTGGCCTTGTAAGCCTCAGCGGTGAGCAGCACCGAGTCGGAGGCGTCGCTCTCGGCGCGGTGCAGCTGCGCCGTCGGCGTCGGCGCCGGCTCGTGGCTGGCCGCGCAGTTAGGGTGGTGCAGGTCCGACAGCTCCATCGAGTCCATCTTGGGCGGCACAAACTCGGTGGAGAGACAGGGTCCGGCGAACGAGGGCGCCGGTCCGCCGCCGGGCCGACCGCTCACCCCGCTCGGACCCTCCATCATCCAGCGCAGGCGCGTCTTCTTGGGCCGCTTCATGAACAGGAAGATGGGCATGTAGCGCAGGAAGACGACGCGCACCCAGTTGGGCATGTGGTGGGTGCGCGGCCCGCGGAAGTTCCAGTTGATGATGACCACCGTCACCAGGATGGACACCGTGTTCATGACGAAGGTGAAGAGCAGGTACTTGGCGATCAGTGGCAGCACCAGCGACGTCGGCGGCAGGATCTTGGAGACGAGCAGCAGGAACACCACCAGCGAGAGCAGGATGCTGATTCCCAGCGTCACCTTCTCGCCGGCCTCTGCAGGCAGATAGAACACCAGCACGCACAGGAACGAGATGAGCACCGTCGGCAGGATCAAGTTCACCGTGTAGAACAGCGTCTTGCGCCGGATCGTGATCCAGAAGGTGATGTCCGTCTCCTTGGGCGACGTCTGGTTCTCGTAGTTGAGGTAGGCGGGCACCTCGACGATGTCCCAGGTGCCCGACTTCCAGTAGTCGGAGAGGTCGACGAACTCTTTGCGGTCGTAGAGCTCCAGGGACACCTGGTCGCCGTTGAAAGTCCAGCTGCCGAACTTCATCACACACGTCTGCTGGTCGAACGGGAAGTACGTGACGTCGATCGTGCACGAGCTCTGAAAACGAACGGGCCAGGCGTTAGTCGCCAGCTTCCCAGAAGGACACCAAGGTGTGACCTCGGGTGTAAATTTTACAATCATTCGGCGCGTGTTCGTCGCTGAGTAGCTCGGTCCAGGAAACAGCTGCCTCCCGTAGCTTTCCCAATGCATGGG